AGATGCTTTTCGGGAATTGTATCAAAATTGGTACGTGCTGGCCTCTTCCGCTGGACAAACGCTAATCAACGCAGGAAGGACGCCTTCATAGAAAGATTCAATCATGACCGTCAGAGCTTCCAGCCATTCTTGGAAGACTACAGTGACCATCTCTCAATCATTGTTCCCGATCAAACCCTTGCCGACCAGCCAGCGGAGCGTGAGAATCGACGCGCACTGGGCTTCATTCAGTACGAAAAAAGACCGGCAGAATCACGATCGCAAATCCATGCATGCAACTACCCATCAATGCTCTAGCTATGGGATTCTCAACCAAAGATGTCCACGGTGCCCACGACCATCTTGTCGGACGTCACGGCCAAGGTCTCAAGCTGGCGGCATGGGTTCTCTCTCGAGATGGCTACCAGGTGAGTATCGCCGCGAGTGGTTGCAATTGGAGGTTTGGCATGCACACAGACGCATCGGTTTCTTGTACTGTCGCACCGTCTCAGAAAACCAAGTCGATCGAGTGGACCGGTCCTGCCCTCGACATGGCAAGCCTACGATACCATGTGGGGAGGGACGTGGCAGTGGTGATCGGCGCGACGCGGGCTAAGTCAGGCCGACCAGTCGCGCTAGACGCGTTTGTGAATTGGCTCCGCTTGACGACGATGGACATTCGCGGGCTCACCTACCCTGCCGGTATCATTTCCACACCACATGGCGACTTAATTCTTGATCCCCAGCTGCGAGGTCAGCTGTATCACAATGGGATCACCTTGACCAATTCCACCGTGGGTGGCGCATTCCTCTTCGCGTACAATTTTGCCTCTTTGACCACCTGCCGCGACCGTTGCGGACTGGCATCCTGGCGGGATGCGGCTCGCCAAGTGCAACGGATATGGGAGGAAGCTCTACGCAAGCAGGAAGACACCATCTTGCCTCTACTTGTCGATCTCCTGAGGAGGCACGCCCGTTCCGCCGACGCCGAGATGATAGGCCCTCTCCTAAAGCCGTTGACGGCGCGTCAGATCTGGCAGTACCTGCTGCGAGAATCAGCAGATAAGGAATTCTTTTACAGCGAGAGGAGCAATGACCAGGTATGTTCACGGGTATAGACATTTCCGTATTTTGATAACTGATGCAGACAGACCGTGAACACCATCCGGGACAGCCTCGGCCAGCGCCCTGCCCGCCTGCCCGACACGCTGTGGCACATACTGCGTGCCCACTGCCCTATCCGAACCGTCGAAGAGGAGCAGCAAGAGCTGTTTAAGGATGCAAAGCCCTGCACCCTCCCGCCCACAACATTCGCGAGAGCAGTCGACCGAGCGTTGCGAGCCTGCTTTGCTCTGCTGAAATTTACCGACCATATTCAGGTTGCCTACGTCGAAGGCTCGACCGGAAAGTCGACGTATACTTTGATAAGGGAAAGGATATGCTTAATATACATTGCCGATGGTTGGACTTTGCTTGTACGCACCACCGGTCGTTCTACCGGCCCTGGTCTCCGAACAACCTCGCCGACCCGAACGCCCCGTTCTTCTGCTGTCATGTGGTGGAAATTTCGCACACTCGGCTCCAGCGGCCCGGACTACCATGCTGTGCTTCATGATGGCAATTGTGCGAACACTGAGACGGCGCTTCTCCATGAGAAAGCAGATAAGTGGTCATTAATCATCCATGGAACAACGCTGACCCCTTTGGTACAGCCCTCCCCAACGACGTGGTGCCCTGTGGCTGCCGCCTGCAGTTCGCTCGTCAGACACACCGAATGTGCCTCTTTACCGGTCTGTCGCACACATCGACATATTGTACCATGATTGCAGATCGACTTTTTTATGGAGTGCCGTCTGATTGACTATCGCCATGGTCGTATGCGAGTGTGGAAAATCTTTCCAGTAGACCATTCGGAAAGTGGTTCGCTCTGCATTCTGCAGTATATGATGATCTGACAGGAACGTACAGCGCAGGCGACCCCCAGGTTACCGGAAGACAAGCGGTATGATCATTGCTATGGAACCCAGCACGTTCTATGCTAACACTCCATGTATATGCAGGCGCCCGAGATTGCTTCGATTTGGTGTAGTCACCTTATCTTGGATGCGATCAAATGTGGAATACCTACCCCCGCGAGACTCCTCATCCACGGTGAACACGGTGAGGGTAATTTTTGGGGTATGTTACGCGTCTTAATTCTCGAGGATATGAGTAAATACTCATCTAAGAAGTGCTAGGGGCATGTGATATCCCGTATCTTTGCATCCAATGTACAGTCTCACCTCCCGCATTCTGTTCATACCGCAGTCGCCCACGTCGGGGTAATACCCTTGCGTTCACGTTCGGTTCAGACGCGGTAACCGGCGAGACGAACTATTGTTATCGGCCAGACGACCTGGCCGAAGGACACTGCATCTTGTGCTAGGGAGTGCTCGTCTGCGGAACGATGACACTGAATGCACCGGTAGACGACCTGAACTCATCTGCCGATTGCTATCAGTGGTATCCGTACGCTCCACCACTGGAGCTGCGTGCGTGTCTTCACGTGTTGGGTCAGGATTTGCCCTCGCTCTCGGTGAGCGGAGCAGGGCATCTAGATCTTCGTCCCTTCGGTTACATTGTGTGAGCACTTAAATCCACTGGGAAGCTAATTAGAACTAACCAGATACAGCAGGATACGTAAGATCCCCCATCGCGCTCCTCCTGCCATTCTTTCACACAGCTCAGTTGTACTAATCCCCAGCACTGGTTACATTGCAGGACCGCACTCTCGTCCACCTGCTCTTCATCGCCTTCAAAAAAAAACTGACAATAGATAGCAGGCACCTCGTCGCTGAGACCGAGGCTATGTAGTTCCAGGTCTTGAATCCCTTACCCGATATTATATCCCAATAGGGCAGCTGGTTGAGTCGGTGAGATGCAGCATGGAGAGCGCTGTTCCTTGTTCACCATGGCGCGGAGGTGTGACGCTGATTACTAATTTTCAAGGGCACCCAAATGTTGATAGCCAGCTATGGTCTGCTTCAATGTAAGGTGCTTCAGCAGCAACCTGGGAGGGAGGACTGGCATGTTGCCGGTCACGGAAGACGGCTCCATATCACGGCCGACCCAGCCGGTTGGCCCGTCGCCGCCGGTGTCATCGGGCACAAAGAAAGTTCCTCGCGATATCATGAAAGTTGGACTGTAATGTCAAGGATTGAAAGGCTGTTCATGTTAACAGACCTGTCCTATGGATCTTCAATATCTTCAATTTGCTGGCTATGGCCATTGCTCCTCCGATCCTGTCTCTTGTCTTAACAAAGCTCAAAGGGTCCTAGACTTGTCGTGGACAGACAAGATAAACCTCACAAAATAAACGATGACAATTTCAAGTACGGATATATGATTGAAGGTTTATGGATGACAATGCCTAGGCTCGCGTCACAATTTGGGGACGCTTGCGGGGCAACGCGACCGCCGGAATGCGCTGACCTCCTCTCCACAGCCAAAGAAACTCGCAGTCAGTCGACCCCCAGCACTAGCTTATTCTCGCTTGTTAGTGCCTCCTTCCCTCTGTCGGGATCGCATCGACGCCTGTGCCTTCTGGAGGCGCTTCATCTCTTTCTGGAGAATTTCGATATCTCTGATGGCTTTCTTCATGCTTCGAGAGTTTTCTTCGCGATGAATGTGTTGTTGTCCGCACACCGCGGCCTGCCTTTCCATCGACCTGCGCTATGATCAGCCAAACTTATATCTCTGGTTGTGAAGCTCCCAAGGCACATTGACAAGTTTCCAAATCAATGATTGATTCTGCTTAATACACATGTAACTTTAAGCCGAAAGAGGGCCTGAGAAGAGATAATATTGGGCACAAAGGGCGGAGGGAGGGAGCACTTACTGTTTTAGTATTGGTTGTAATCGCTCCTCATGATGCTGTTGCGTGGGATCCGCTGGTTTGTCTCCTGGCATAAGTTCGAATCGAACCTTACGAGAGCGTCTGCTCTCAAACAATGCGCGAGCGCGTTCCGATGGTAAAGCCACCGGCTTTGTACGAGATGACTTCGCATTTTCCGAGGAGCTTGTATGTTCTGAGGAACCGGAGCCTCCCTCCAAACTCTCATACCATTTTTTGTATTCTGTGAAGGCTTTGCTGGGACGATATTCGGGGGTTTTCTTGTCTTGCTGCGCCATTGGAGAATTTGGGAAAGGGAGACAGCGGAATTCGATGAGGTTGAGGGTGATGAATCGTCGAGGAGGAATTCCAGGGGCAAGAGTTCAATCGCTGAATGAAAATATGTGGGGAGAAGTTCTGGATTTCTCTCCGAAAAGTATTATTACCACTGTTACATTTCCTTGGATTGACCGAAGTGGAGATTTGAGTTATAAGTGGGCCAGCATGGTTATGGATAGTGGGAATGTCAACGTTAGGTCGTCCGCGCTGAATTACTAACGTTCTTCGACGTTCACCACCTGAGTATAACCGTAAACGTTTAACCTCAAGGTTCAGCTATCAATACAATAGTGATGGAGACAGCCATTCGTGTCATATGTTAATAAGACGCCCTCCCATGACACCCAGCAACATGCCTACGCAATCCTCGCCCGTCTAAGAATCGGGTGGGACCTTTGTGGGAACCTTCAATTACCCGTGTGAGATGGTAGGGTGGCGACAACAGACAGCCCGTTTCAAATAATACCGTAAAGGTGAATTGACTGCAAGATGTGTCCCAGGTGACTGCAAGCCTCGAGACACGCCTCAGCCAAATGGCTAAGTATTTTTTCTAGAAATTGTCGTACATCACAGGGAAAGTCATTCTGCAAGCAAAAGAATCTAAAGAATATTTTTGACAGATGCTGACAACGTATTGGAGGGGGAGTAACAAATAATTAGGCACGTTTTCCGTTCGACAGGGCCAAACAATTCCCTTGTTGACGAAAAATGACAGACTTTCGCGTTGGCTCTGGAAGCACGACCCGGAAGTTTTTCTAAGACGCCGGAGACTCTGGTGCAAGAGGGACGACACATACATTGAACAAAATAAATGGCTGTGTGGATCATCTCCAAAGCGATTATTGGTCTCATACGAGACGGTGACCTACAGTACCATGCGGCGGACAGCCCGTATGAAATGTCGCCAGCCCTAAATATTACTGGCAGCTGGACCTGAACACCCTGCGTGCTGTCTGCTTCAGAGTCGATTATCAGGATGATACAGCTCGTGCAGCTGCAATGGCTCTGGGGAAATACCGCTCGCCATACCAGAACGCATGATATTCGAGAAATCGCTGTATTGGTTGAGGAATGATTTGCTGTGCCTAAAATGGAACCCAGCCCTTTGGCATCCCGACAATAGAATAGTGCGTAGAGAACTCTTGGTCAACCAGTCAGTCGGAAGGATTTGGCATCATCCGAGTTTGTTCTCACCGGATACGGGTTTCTTGCAGGGACCGGGCGAGACATCGAAACATTCTATACGAAGTGTGTTAGAGAGCGTCTAGGTTGAAGTAGGAGCTGTGTCCGTACTCACCTTGTGGTTTCCGGTCGTGAACGCACGCGGGCGAGCGGAGATGTCTGATACAAAAGTCATGCCCTGGTCAGGCCGCGACATCCTCTTGACGCATTTGCCGCCTGGCAATTCTCGTCTTCGACGTCGCCTCGTTATCTTCGACATCGTTCTGTCCCAGCGCCCGTAGTGGAAGGGACGGATGACCTGCTCTGGTGGACTGTTTGAAAATTTGATCTTTTAGCAAGCCAGACAGTCAGGCAAGATGCGCTAAGAAACGTAGCATATACTAATAACAGTCACGAAGAGGAGAGGACGCCAAATCCACAGTTGGAGCGCAAGTAGCTGTATAGTCGTTAGGCTGGCCACGTAACCGGGAGAATCTTCCTCTTGCCAGTTCAAACGCAACCGATGTTGCTCAACACTCGGTTGAACGCGCTTTTCAACGACCGTTGAAGGTGGTTCACCGTAAACATCTTGAATATAAGATGCAACCGCCAAGATATGGTTCCATGGGTGGCCCCGTCTAGATTCATGCACGCCACGGTTCGAAGTGGGGCGCTTGGCGAGATTGGCCGCAAATTCTAGATCGCATACTTCAACGGATGTTGAACCACCTCAACTGGCCGCAAAAATGAAATATTTTCTGCGGAATTACAGCATAGTCCATCATCTCTCTCATAAAATCTGCATAGCTGGCAGATATGGGCAGCCGGAGGCGAAAAGACATAAAAGGACGCTCCACGACCGGTCTAGAAAGTCAGGACTTCGATCCTCATCCTCCGAGACGGCACGGTCTTGTCTGCCCGCAGAGTTCAAATCTTTTTGGTCTTGGCGTTCACTGTCATGAGCCCAGTGAAGTGGGGGATACGTCCTCTCGGAGGACACGCTCTGCGTTATCAGGGTAATCCGCAGGGACGTCTGCGAAACCAAGAGTCTCCGCAGGTACGTCTGCGAAATCAAGAGTCTCCGCAGGGAAGAGCTGCGCAACCAAGGGACTTCGCAGGGGAGCGCTGCGCAACCAAGGACCTCCGCAGGGAAGAGCTGCGCAACCAAGGGACTTCGCAGGGGAGCGCTGCGCAACCAAGGGACTTCGCAGGGAAGAGCTGCGCAACCAAGGACCTCCGCAGGGAAGAGCTGCGCAACCAAGGACCTCCGCAGGGGAAAAGCTGCGCAACCAAGGACTTCCGCAGGGGGGCGCTGCGATAACAAGTGAACTCCGCAGATAGGAACTGTGATGACAAAATCCTCGCAGGGGGGCGCTGCGTCACGAAGTGAACTCCGCAGTTTAGGATCTGTGATGACAAAATCCTCGCAGCTTGAGGTCTGCTTTACCAACATCCTCCCTCACAGACAATGAGCCCTGTGTTTGTAAAAGCGTGGTCGATCGGGTAGGACCTGGGGCCAGGGTCTACACCATGATCCTCTAGCTACATGCAGGCACCTCTCCGTGGTGCTAGGGACCAGTATTCAAGTGTTGCCGCGGCGCTTGAAGAAGCCAAGACCTGCACGACTCATCTCTGGGTACGTTTTGTAGGTCCGAACCATGGGGGAAGTCGATAGCATAGCAATGAAGATAAGTTCTCGATTCTGACTTGTCCTACTGTAATGTAGAGATAGATCTTGTAAGCTCCGTCACTGGAATTCTAATCTAAGGATGGCACTACGAGGAAACCCTCAAACCACACGGGAAGCAAGAGCATACATACAGTGTTGTCTTAGCGAATAGAGACAATTGTATCACAGGCGAGACGTCAGTATTAGAAGCAATCGTCTATTCACTCCGGTGTCCCCCATGTAATTCACGGATATTGGGATGCTTGTTGACGGTGAGGACGTAAGGATGGTAGGGATGGTGAGGACGGTGAGGACGGTGAGGACGGTGAGGACGGTGAGGACGGTGAGGACGGTGAGGATGGTGTTGATGGTGAGGATGGTGTTGACGGTGAGGATGGTGTTGACGGTGAGGATGCTGTTGACGGTGAGGATGGTGAGGATGGTGTTGACGCTGCGTTGATAAACGGAAGTGGTGAAACGTTGAAACTGTGAATCACCAGGCGGTGAACCAGGCTCATCCCTGGCGCCGCAAATAAGACCCCACCTGCCCCTAACATTGTATCCCACACGCATAGTTCAACGGTGACGGGCAATCCGCTGATTGATGATGGTTGCAAACGATCCTCCAACGAGGCTTTTTGTTCACCGCAGCACCTTTTGACTGAGCGACCGCACTGGCAACATCAAAATTACATTTCTGTGCTGCGACTATTACATGGTCTAGGCGGTAGACTGGAATATTTGGCAGCTCACTTCGCAAATAAACATGGGTGATACCAATTGCGGCTTTGCCAATTAGAACCGATTGGTGTTAATTTGCGGTCGCGATTTCTGACATTAGGAACCACAACAGACATTTTACCAGATCCGATGGGATCCGTTACATTTTTGGACGGCGACTTGTTTGATCTTGTTTCTTGAATTTTGAATGGCTCGCATGTTTCTTTGCCGTGTGTTGGGAATAGTGTATGCAGATTCAAGGGTACATAATACTATAATGCTTTCTAGACCTGATTGTACAAAATATATATCTTGTCCTTTCGATTCGAACGTATATTATAGCCAAGACCAACACGTAGAAATGGCCACAGGCGCACAGCCATTTAGCAAGACTGCGTGCTTTAAAAAGCCTTTGCCTTTTGAACAACTTTCCTTGGCCTGAATAATCCCAATTGAGACCGAAGAAGAATAAAAATCCATCCGGAACTTATGAGATCGTCGGGTGGTCGATCCTTACCGAAACAACTTGAACTTAGCAACAAGGCATTTATTAACAAATGCATTTTTTGGCCTAGTGGTTACCTTCTCCACTGGGGTCGCGCGTTCGAATCCTCCGCGCGTCGTCATTTCCGAGCGATATTTAGATTTTTTGTGTTCGATCAGTTCTCTCTCATGGGTCTGGCCATTCGGTGTTCAATTCAGCCTTCACTTCCGTGTCGTGTTATTTATTGCTCAAATATGACAGCAAAAACCATGTTCGCCCAAGTAGAATCTCGTGTCGCGTCGCCGTGTTTCCGCACTTCCGCCGATCACCTCTAGCGTCCGTCATTGTTCATACCCCCTGCTCTCAGCCGTTCGCTCCTGGAGGCAAACCCAGTTCAAATATCGGGCAAGCCTATGTTGGCCTCTCTGACCGGCAAGCCATCGGACGTCAACTGTCCGCGGAAACAAGGGTCGTATATAGAGCTAGTTGGATCAAGGCTAGCCACGTAGCGATTGCGGCCTCCTTGTCTTCCATGGGTGGCATAGTGGGATTTGAGGTTATCGCGACGCGTGAAGCTGCGCTGGCACTCCGGAACCCAGCAGACATATGACTCCTCAGCCAAGTGGCCGGACAAATGACGCTGCAGGCCTTTGAAATATCGAAAGCGACTGCTGCACTTCGCAACGCTGCATTTGAATTGCCGCCGCGGAAGCTGCCATGGTATGCTGTTGAGGGTGTGGCTGGAGTGTCCTTGGTTGCCACAGACGAGGCGTGTGAATTCTTCAAAGTCTTGCCAGGACGTCGTCCTCCAACCACCGTCGGGCGGTTTGTCGCTCATATTTGGCTTGATCACGCTGTATGGCTCGATAGTGGGATTCCTCGTGAAAACCTCGACCTCCGACTCGAGGACGGACCCATCTTTGAACCAGTCCATATTATGAAGTTGATCTTGCTGTGTAGGAGCAGATATGACACATTCCCTATCGGGCCAGGTAGTGCTTTGGAAATCCCAGTCTACTGGGACTTGGCTGTAATCGGCTTGGAGGCTAGGCCATTGACAGGAGCCTTGCGGAGGACAGAAAATGTTCCACTCTGCATGGCTTGTTTAGCGAGTCATTGAATAACCACGAGGAGGCCATAGAACTTACCGCTGTGGTAATTTCCACCATCCTCCTCCGCTGATGGGGTTGCTGTCTTATCCTGTGAATGCATACGGCTGATGGGCAGATTCAACAATCTCTGCGGACACGAACATCAGGGCCCGAACAGGGAGATATAGGTGAAAGGCAAGTCCGCAAGATAAGGTACTGGACATAGCTAGGAAGAGGTAGCAACTACCAAATGCTGTATAGTACGGGACATGTAGATGTTGTAAGTAGATCCTCTTTCCTAAATCCTCGAACCGTGTACAGAATCCGATTCAACAGGCCTCATTCGTGCGCAGCTGCGTGAGCATGAGCGGGGAAGGTGATCATTTCACCGGGGAATTAGTCCGTTGATTTAGACTATCAACGTTTGACCACCCTACTAATACTCTTAATTGCATGTGCCGTCATTTTGGTGCAATTTCTATTTCAGTTCATTGAAACGTACATCGAAAAGATATAACTTCTGGTGCAACGCCGCGAAGCATCTAAGCATTTTCCATGATCAAGCGAGGCCCAACATGGACGCTTCCCATGCCCGACCTGTCGAAGGTCAGCTCACAAATGACCATCCTCCGATCGGCAAACCTGCCCCCGAGAATCAAGACAACCCGCAGACTACGGTCGATCCACCCTCTGACCCACCTGCTGTGAGTAGGGAAAGCACGACCATTTTGATGATTGAGCTGACCACTGCTTGACAGCCCGAGGATCCACAGAGACCTCCCTTGATGGATCAGCCGTTTGAGCCTGCTATGGAAGCTCTCGCGCGGCTCGAACGCGAAGACCCTAAACTTGCGTTCCAAGCTGCGAGAATCGTCGGACTGTATCGGCGCTTGTGGGAGTCGTGCACATCGAAGCA